GAACTGGGCAGGAAATTTAGTGACGTGTGCGAATTATAATCATTTGTGGCTAAATAAAAGTTTCTGTATTTTTATTGCTAGGCAAATTTTATGTAAAATGTCGATTCATGAAGAAATGAAGTTTTTTGTCCGACTTGAAGGAGCAAACAATTTGAATAATATGGTGAAGTATTAGCTTTAATTAGATAGAATTCACGGAGAAATAATGTTATCAGATAACAACATTTGACATTGTACCACACACATTTTTGCATTCCTACAGTATCATCTTTTAAAATTATATTACAGGTTAAAAAATTTGAGGATAATCGTTGGATACTAAGACCCTTATTACCCAATTTCTCGCACAAGGATAAGTTTCCTCATATAGCTATTAATTATGTTCCTTACGAATTGGGATATGTACTTTTATATCATCTAGAGGATGAGTTAGGATCTTCAGAATTCGAATCATTTCTTCAATCTTATTTTAATAAATTTGCATTCAAAAGTATAAACACTGAAGATTGGAAAAACTACTTATGTGAATATTTTTCTAACAAAAAGAAGGTATATAACACTTTCTCTTTATATAAGTAATAAACTACAGTTTTACCAGTATCTTTCAAAAAATTATTTTTAGCATTATATAAAAACAATGACTTCGATGTTGCTTTCAGGTGTTAGATCATTTTACATGGTGGACGTGGTTCAATGTTAGACCTGCTTTTATGATCCGGAACTTGCCGGAAATGACTGCATGGCACAGAGAGTGTCGCGAGTTAGCGGACGAATGGGTCCAATTTAACGAAACTTCTAATCTTTCTATCTTAATGGAACGAAGGAGTCTTTGTGACGTTCAGAAAATATTATTATTAAGCAATCTACATACTTTTCATACTTCGGGTTTGACCGAGGAAAAATTGAAATTAATTTCAGATTTTTATATTTTCGATAATGACAGTGGTCAAGTACGGTAAATATGTGTATTTATATTCATATTGATTCACAATTGCGTAACATTAAGCGAATATATTTCGCAGGTTTAGTTGGCTGTTATTGTGCATTAAAGCTCGATGGTTTGAGAAAGTTACAACAGCTTTAGATTTTGCTATTGAATTTTGTTCGCCGAATATTGCATGTCCTATATTTGAACGTTTGTACGAATGGATAGAAATACGTTCGAGAGTGATCGAAACGTACAATCGTCATAAAGGAAAGATGTTGCATGAAACCCAGATGAAGTTAGATAAAATTCTGCACCTAAAGTGATATGTATCTCGGTAAGAAATAACTTAATTTACCTTTTTACGCGATAAGACATTAAGAACTGTTATTTAAAATAATTTATTCTTAAAATTAAATTATATCAAGCTTGTATGTATCAACAATAATATGAAAGGTTAATGGCCAATAACGAGCATGAAAATTGTTAAATTTGATAAAGATTTATTGCTACAAACAATTAATTAATTAGGAATGTTTCGACAACACAGTGCCTTCTTCAGC